GTGTCCAAAAGTGAGAAACGAAGGGCCGATTGTGCTGATGATGCTGGCCCGAAGACAATTGCCCTAAACCCTCCGTAGCGGGGGGAGAAGCTTCAACCATGCGTCCAACAATCAGCTTAATTTTTGACCACCAAAACCGGTTTCCTAGCAGGGGGCGAGAAGAGGAACACAGGGCTAGACATGAAACAAGATGCAGCCCAGCTTCGCGTGGGAGCAAGAGCGGGCTTGGTGGCAAGCGCAGAGGGGCCAAGGTGCGCGGCCGGTTTGGAAAAAGCAAGTATTTGAGGCTTCAAGAGCCAGGGAGGGCCAGGGGGGGCATGGGCTCTGAGGGCCGGGTGGGATTATGAAGGGCGCGGGCTAGGTCTAGAGGACGGGTAGGTCTGGAAGGCTAGGCAGAGGGGGATCAAGGGGGGCAAGGGGGAGAGATGGGCGTGGGCTTGGTGGGGGGGGTGGGGGGGGTGGGGGGGGGGGCGTAAATCTTTCGAAAAATCAATTGAAATCTCACTCGAATCGATTGAAATCCATCGCAAATTCAATTAAAACCACGTTTGAAGCGATTGAGATCTCCTCAGATTCCATTTAAAGTTTCGTGATCCATTCCAATCTTTTACGACCGATTCAGGATGGTGGTATCAGAACCAATCAAGATGTACTTAAAGCCAACGAAAATTGAATTGACGTGCATTTAAAACAAAAATGCATTCAGATCTAATACATGCCTATATGAGCACTTACAGGTGATAAGAAACCTAACAAATCAGGGAATCCGCAATTCATTCTGATTCCCTATTCTACAGCCCTATGACCTGAGAACCACCCCACTTCATTACCAGGTGTCCCCGTTTAAACGTAGCTTTTCCCTTTTAAAATTGCTCTTCAGGATTTTAGGTCACTGGACTTCGTATTTGATATTGGGGGAGAATACTACGGGAAAGGGATTGTTGAACTGCTTTCAGCACTCTGCGCCCAGGACCCCNNTTTTTTTTTTTTTTTTTCTTTTCGCCAATTTCTGACTTAGATGGCTGCTGCAAATTCAAGTAGCAATCTGCGCCCCAGCATAGAACACACATTGGCACAAAACGAGCGCTTATCTGCGCGAAAATCGGAAATGAGCGCAAAATCGAAGCAACGTACCGTAGGTATGGCCGAAATGGGGCACATCAACATTGCCCAGAGCAGGTTCCCTGGAAACAAGCGCAAGCTCCTCTGTAGCGTGAAGCGATGTGCCTCAGTAAAGAACACAAGTCCAACGTTGGAAGTTCCAGACTGCTTCATTTGGGTGTGGTGTTCCTGTCGCTGCCCGAAAATGCAGACACGGACGCANNTAGCTTCGTAGCTTGCCGAAGGCCAGAACCTTTTTAATGGCAGCCTGGCATGTTTGCCAGCATGGCTAGCTTCTGGATTCTCCGGTCAGCTTGTCATTCTAGCCTCAGACAGGGTTGTGGCTAAAACCGGCTCAACCTGTTAATACCGGTGATCCTTTCACAGCCCGAAAATGCAGACACGGACGCATGTCATAAAGGGTTCATTTGCAGAACAAGCATGTGTTTCCAGAGGAGTGGCAGCATTTTGTCTTGCAGTTTTTTTGTCCTCGAGCGAGTTGCGATTTTGGTCGGGAAGCTTGTTGCCATGTCCGCCTTCGTGGCCCTGCCGTCTGCCAGCTCAGCCCCTGTGGAGAGGGCCCAATCCCTTCGTGGCTCCGTGGAGGCGCCGGTGCGGCCGCAGGCTTCAGCCTCAGCCTCAGCCTGCA